GTATTTTATTAAACTTTTCTAGTTCTTGGAAAGAAACTGTCCTACCCTAACCAGAAATGGAAATTTACATTCCCATGCTCTACCATTGTTCAGGGTCTTCTAGTGGGGCCTTGAAGCCTGACATTAGCCAGGGCAGAAACACAACCGAAAAGAAATTAGAACAATAGTAGTTCAGATTTGACGTATCATACAAAAGAAATAAAATGAGTGAAACATTGGGATTCCTTTTTTTTTTTTAATTTACTGAAGGTTACGTAGCACTAGTGTAGCTGCTACTCAACTTTGCCCCAGTACCTGGGGTACTGACGAGGTGAGATCTTTCTCTGTACAGAACCTAGTGAATCTTTGCTAAACTCAATGTAGAACCCTACAATCTAGGCTCTTGGCCTCTGGTCAACAATATGAACATGTGGAATCTTGAAGTCCTGGTTTTGTTTAAATGGATTATTTACATATTATAATGAATTTAAATTTGAATTTATTGTAATGGGATAGAAGTTTCTGCCTTCTACCTTAGTTTGATTTATTAACTGACATTTATTTATATTTCACTATGACTTACCCTTATATCCCATGTACACAAGATGGTTTATGTTTTTCTTTTGATAACAAGTTTAATTTCCAGTAATTACTATGAAGCAGTTTCATCTTCTTTAAGATTTGGAGAAAATATTTTATGTAATTAGAATATTATTAACCTTTTGCGGTAACAATACTGCATAAATTTGTGTTAAGCAAATTATATTTTTTTCTAATTATTAAGTATTGTATTTTTTAAAGAAAGCATTTGGCTCGAGGTTAATTTTTAACCTAGATATTAGAAAAAATATGTCTTGAATATTAATTGACATTAATAATATGTTAAAAAGTCATTTAAGATTACTGAGAAATTAATAAACACTGGCACTGTGATTATATGTGCTGATCTATGTGTGTTCGTTAAAAATAAATCCTACATTTTCACTCTTCATTTGACAAAAGCAATAAAGTATCTTTTCTCTCAATACAGGAAAAAATTATTCCATATTTATTACGATTGAGACAAATTAAGGATGAAACTCTTCAGGCTGCAGTTAGAGAAATTTTGGCCTTAATTGGCTACGTGGATCCAGTGAAAGGAAGAGGAATCCGAATTCTTACAATTGATGGTGGAGGGACAAGGTGAGGCTAGAAAAATGATTTTTCTTTTAAGTTTAATTTTGAGAGAGAGGGAGAGAGAGAATCCCAGGCAGGCTCTGTGCTGACAGCGCGGAGCCCAACACGGGACTTGAACCCACGAACTGTGAGATCATGACCTGCGCTGAAATCAAGAGTCGGATGTTTAACTGACTGAGCTACCTAGGCACCACAGAAAAATGATGTTTTAAATCTGCTGATCCAGTTCAGCCTTAGGAATTTTTTTAACCGATTCTGTGTAATTATAGTAACTACTTCGTTATAAAACCAAATTTTTGAAATAAAACAGTAAATAGTTTTTCTTAACTTGTTACTTACCGTCTAAGAGAATATATACCTGGATTTTCTTTTAGTTTAATTTGATCCAGTATTTATTTCAGTTTGGTCTTTTCAGACCTTTTTGGTAATTTAGCACAATTTACCAACCATGATTCTCTTAAAATCTTGGCAATGTTTTATAATGTCGGCTTTCCTTCATTATATTTATCTTACCCATGTTTACCAGTCAGCTAGTCACTTAATTAAGTGATGGTTAGAAAAGGAGTCTGTATCAGTAACTTCCTGACTCCCTACATATTCACTTGTAGATGCCAGTTCTGGTGCTACAGGGGCCATCTAAGCATTCTCAGCTCAGGAGGTCATTTCACCATCAAACTCCATTCTTTCTGCTGGCAGTTCATCCATACTTCTTGTTCTCAGTTCCTTACTACTTGTTGGTTAGATTCTTTGATGTTAGCCTTTCGCCCCAAATTTTCTAGCTTGGGTGCTAGTTTCCTGCCATCTCTGCTCTTACCTCTTAAATTCAAAGTACATGCCCTGCGCGTTGTTCTTAGCTTACTTTGCCTCTCTGATTTTGTTCTCTGATAGTCCTGCCTTGCCAGTTACTGTTTTGTATGTCCAAGTACTACCCTGACCTTTTTGTTAAATTCTAAAGTCCTGTGTGCAAGCCAGATTCTTCTAATTTTGACACAATGTGAATGAAGGAGTGGATGATGAGAGAAGAGACTAATAATCTAGGCAGAGGACAATAAAATAATAACTTCAGATGATGGCAGTGGGAAGCAGGAGGAAGGAAAAATATGTAAGAAAACTTTGAAGAAAAAGGGGTTTGGATGTAGTTGAAAGAGGTCAAGGTCACTCCTAAGTGTAGACCCCATGGATGATTGGGACAGAATTGCAGGGAAATGGGAGGAGGTGGTTGCTATTGAGAAGGACAGTTCTGTTTTGCACATGTTGACTATAAGGCTTCACGCAGCAATATAGAAGTGCTAATTTGGCAAGTGAAGGTGGAATTGATTGAGGAGAGAAAAGTCTTAGAAGATCTTTTGGATGTTTCTTACAGAAGTGAAATTCAAGAAAGTGAACGTTATGATAAAGTGGTAATGAGTTAGAGAGAATCATTCTAGTGCATAGAATTGGTTCCAAGTAATGAGAAGTAAGGAGAATGGCAGTTGAATGAGTAAGGAATTTCACCGAGGAGCAGGAAGAAGCCAGTCCTCTTTTGCCATTAAGTTTAGAGCATTTGGGAAGGATGGTATCATTTATCGAGTCAGCTAACATATTGAGTGCCTGCCATGTTCTACACGGTGATTTGGATCCTGGGGTCACTCAGTAAGCAAAATCCAAGTCTTCATGGTACTTGCATTCCAGGGGAGGAAAGAGAACAAATAGGGGGGAAAAAATGTACTTTTGAGTAGGAATGGGTGTTATGAAGAAAAACAAAGCAAAGTGATAAAGAGTAGCAGTGCTATTTTGTACTGTCAACAGAAGCCAAATTATGGAAAGAGCCCAAATGTCCATCAGCTGATGAATGGACAAAGAAGATGTGCTATAGGGGTGCCTGGGTGGCTGAGTTGGTGGTGAGTCCAACTCTTGGTGTGCTCAGGTCATGATCCCAGGATTGTGGGTTTGAGCCCAGTGCCAGGCTCCACACTGAACATGGAGTCTTCTTAGGATTCTCTTTCTCCCACTGCCCCTATCTGCTGCTCAATGCCCTTTGTCTCTAAAGAAAATTAAAAAAAAAAAAAAAAAAAAAAAAAAAAAAAGATATATGTGTGTGTGTGGGTATATGTGTGTATGTATATATATACATGTGTATATATATGTATATGTCAGTGATGTGGATGGAACTAGAATGTATTGTGCTAAGCGAATTAAGTCAGTCAAAGACAAATACCATGTGATTTCACTTGTGGAATTTAAGAAACAAAACAGATGAACATAGGGGAAGAAAAGGAAAAATGGGGAGGCAAACCAGAAGAGA